TTTTTTTTTTTTTTTTTGCTTATATGTATGTAAATTGTTTTGTATTATTCTAAGATATGTTCTTTGGTATGTTAGCTTGATCCTTTTAATTTGCATACAATTTTAAACAAAATAGATTGAATTTGGTTATGGCAATTTTGTGTTCACGTGTTTTTTTTTTTGTAGTAAGCAACTCTTTTATTTTCATAATGCTTGGTCAGAATTTATTATCAGTTAGAAGAGATATTTTTTTTTGCTTTTCTTTTTAAGTATTTTTCTTTTTCATGATTAGGGGAAGAAAATATGAATATGTCCGGGTAGGCTAATTGGAAGTTTTTAAACAACGAATAAGATTTTTAATCGACAAAAGATTTGAAAAGGATTTAGTTTGTAGGCGCAAAGTAGTAAGACAAAAGAAACTTAGTTGTGATTAATACTTCACAAGTCAAGTTACGTAAAAAACCACGAAAAAAAAAAACCTTAAACTTTATTTCATTCCCATTCATTCACCATTCACCCATCCATATACCTGTCCGATATATTTCAAAATGCATTCCTATACAGTTTAGCTGCCTTCCACGTTAAATGTATTTTCCCAAATCGGGCATAGGAATTTGGAGATCATAATACAAGAAAAATGGCTACTTTTTTTTTATGACTGCGATGATAATTTGAATGAAAATTTTGCCATATGCCAACAAGCAGGAGATAAGTCAAACAGATGGATTTAAATCGATATCGTTACACATTTTTCCAATTTTTGTAAAAATTATTGAAACTTGGATAGCTTATCAAATACGCATTTCAAATACTTTGCTAGCATCTTGTATATCATCTGCGCATATACATATATATAAGTCTGATGTGTAAAACAATTTTTATCAAAACTATTTGGCAACGAAAAATATAGGAATTTTTCCACAACAGCGAGGTGAATATATTTTGCATCTGAGCTCACGATTAAATAGGTTGTTGCAAGGCCGGGCTGCACATCCTAATAATACATGTTAGGCTCCCATATAGTCGTGCATTACGATGGCTCGTTCTCTTTTATATCAATCCTTGTCGTACGAGTCATTTGGATTACGTAAATTCAGTCAGAGCCCTGTATGACTCAAGACTTGCTTTTCTTCAGGCTTAAGATGTTCTGTGACACATAAGAAAGAGGGAATGTATACAAAATTCATCAATAAATATTTGCTTTCCTTTCCGTTTATCGCGTTGTGCGTACCTTTTCTTGAGAACGGTCGCAATATTTTTACTGCATTGTATGAGTCCGTGTTATACAAACGGCTATTACAGGCGGCTTCACTCTAAAGGCATTATATTCAATATATCTGCTATGACGGATAGACGGATATGATTTCCGTATTTCAGAAATTGTTTTTGTATTATCTATCATGAGCACCGAAATATAAGAAAAAATGTTTGCTAAATTATTACAGTTTTGGACTAAAGTGAAATTCTGATTCGATTTTACCAAACATGCCTACATGTTTTGTTTGCTACTTGAGCTCTTATGGCGGATGCGGAGATATTTAATACGTCTGAGTGGTTATACAATGTCCTTAGATTAGGCTACAAAGTACACGTGAAACGGCCAATACTCAAGGATATCGACGACGAGTTTGCTGGTCCTATTTACTATGAGCTTTTAAAAGGAACCGATCGGTCCAAAGAGCAGAAGACCATTTGACGCGACGAGTCTTTAAAACTTACTCCAAAGTGTACGTAGCTTTTTTTATAGTCCTCATTTGGATTGAAAACTTTTCAATTTTAGAATGAAAGCCCTTCGGAATATATTCGATTTGATTTATATAACCTACGAGACGATATTAAATTGAATTTCGTTATTAGTTAATTGAAACGCGACTGTAAGGACCTAAATGAATTCGTTAAAGATTTTGTGGAAAATTTCAGACTTTACAAATAGGGCAGGGCAAGAAGTAAAAAAATCATTTCAAAATTTAATCTCTACGGAATTCTGATCAATAATTATGAGCATTAGTTAAGAGGAGCTTACGAAACTTAATAGTTAAAAAACACATTTCAGTTTTTAGTTTTAAATTTCGTTTAACTATCTTTTCAATACATATATACCTATGTATGCATAGAATAACGGTAATTGTGTAAAATATAATGTTTTTGTTTGTTTGTTTCTTTTCAATAACGTAGCAAAATAATATTTGATTAATAAATACTTAAGCGTTAATATTAAAGTGTATTATACAAAATATTTTTGCAATAAATACTTTTAAGTATTTTTCTTTTCATTTTCTTTTTTTTTCTTTTTTTTTTGTTGCAATTTTAAAAATTTAATTAACTATTGTGAAATTGTTTGAGAATAGTAATCCCTATGCCTAAATATACATTATACATAAAAGTAATGTAATTTTCATTAAAAAAAAAAAATAATAATAATACAATAATAATAATAATAATAATAATATTTATTTATATATATATTTATTGTATATGTTATATAGTTTATGCGATTTCACTTTAACTGCATTGGTATGGTGCTTTCTATGTACGATTAATGATTTCTGCTTCTGTGTATGCAATTGTTTATGTCTTTTAATGCTGTTTCCCATTCAGAGAGAGATAGAGGGAGAGAGAGAGAGACAGAGAGAGAGAGTATCGCTTATCCGTCTAATATTCATATATATATAGAGAACACACATATATATATATATATTTATTTTTTTTTAATTACCTTATTGTGGGAAATTTTAAAACTAATTAACGAAATATGTAAACAAAGCGATCGAAAAGATATACCCAAAAATAAATTACCGCTAGTTTTGTGTAAGACAACATTTTAAAATCCTTGTCTAAAGGGATTCGCTGGTCCAGCTGGGCCTCTGCTTCCACCAGAATCAGACATTTGTTGATGTTGCTGTTGTTGCTGTTGCTGTTGCTGTTGTTGAAATGGATTAACAACTCGTTGTTGGGGAAGATGTCTTGTATCCGCTGTTTGTGATGGCTGATAGATACCACCTTGTTCTTGATATCCAGGTTGATATTGATTTTGTTGATACTGTGCATTATCTTGTTGATAGCTGTCACCACCGGCCTGCTGTTGATAGCCTCCCTGAGTTTGATAGCCATAATTACCTTCATCTAAATTACTTTCCTGCTGATGTTCTTGTTGATATTGTTCGCCATATTCTAAATGATTTTTATAATCACCTTCCAATGGTTTCTGATCGTGCATAACATAAGTTTGATATTCTTTATCGGGCGGATCTTGCATTAGGATATTTGCTTCATTCTCGAATGGCTTAAAATCGTATATGTTACGCAATTTTCGTAGAACGGGCACATATAACAGATTGGTAAATGCTATAATGAAATTTAAAGCCGTAAATCCAATCGCTTCGACTACGCCACCGGCAATAATAGGGCCTACCGCGTACGCTATAGAATATGATATGTCGGCTATAGCGTAAACACTACCGTAAACTGATACGTAACGTACATCCACTAAATAGCCCAACGTGGGCAAAAGGGCAGTATCGATCAAGGCGATGCCAAAACATATTATGCATATGGGTAACATAAGCATTTGATATGAACTGGAGAAGGGTATTATGAAACAGGAAAGACCCTCTAAAGCTAAACCGACAGCTGCCATCAGCCATTGATGATGTGGATATTGTTTCGCCATTTTCACTGTCACCACCACACCCAGAACATGGGGGAAAAATGCCGGCAACCAAACCATACCTATTTTCCAATTATCCGTAGTTAAATTATCTTCCATCCATAAAGATATAGTGGGTTCTAAGAATGCCAGAGCTACGTTCGACATAGTTAGAGCACCAGCGCATACAGCTATATATGGATCCATTAGTAAACGCCAAATTGGTATAATTTCTTGTTTCACTTCTCTGCTTTGCCGGAGTTGTTCTTTAACAGGCTTCATAACCAGCATTAGCATAAGAGCATCGATTAAACAGACCAAGGCTAATATCAGGAAGGGCACTTCTTTGCCGGCGAATTGATAGAGTGCTCCACCAAATGGTGGCGCCACCAAACAGCCGAAACTAATAAACGCTAAGGCTATACCTAAAGCCTGGGAGCGTTCATTCTCTTCAGTAAAACGATCGGCTATCATGGCCAAACCCGAAGTATCAGCAAAGGCTGAGCCGGCACCCTGCAATGACCGGGCAAAGAATAAGACACTATAGCTACGGCCACAAGCAAATACTGCAGTTGAGAAGAACATAATTGTTAGACCGATCATCATGGGTATATCATAGCCGATTTTATCAATTAAGCCACCGGAGAATGGATTTACCATCAGTTGTACGATGGCTTTGGAAGCAAATAGTATACCGGTAGCTGAATCCTGGCCGTGATGATCGTGATGTCCAGGTATTATTTTGCCCGTAACATTATCACGTGTTGGGCCGACATCGCCCTCTGTCGTAAAACCACCCAATTCGCGTAAATAATCGGGTATAATCGGTACAATAACCATATACAACATATTATCCAAAAGCAGGGCAATAGATACAATAACCAAAACTAAGCGTCTCTGCATAACCGGCTCTTGTATCTTCTCCCATACGATCTCCTTGACCTCGCGCAACTCCAAGTTAACAACAGGTATCGTAAACGAAGACATCTTTCAATGATTTCGTTTATTTTCCAAATAAATTTTTATTTTTTTTTAAATGGAACCAAACCAAAATGTTTTGTTTTTTTTGTACTTTAGTGTAACGAGCTGATCGAACGAGCTCTTATCTTTCTATCGCTTTCTGTTCAATGATGTTTTTAAATTATATTTTGCATTTAATTTTTGCATTCGTTTTTCTTTTCTTTTTTTTTTCTTTATTCATTTGATATGTTGGGGTAGCGTTCGTTTCGTTTAGAGTACTATCCGTTATGAATATTGGCTGACACAGCTGCTTTAGTCCTCTCCATGATGTTTAGGCACATAGTGATTTAATTAATTAATTAATTTAAGATTTGTGTGATAATCGCCTCGTCAAAAGGGGTACAACCTTTAACGACACAGAAACAATATTTCATTGCATTAGTTTTTTTTTTTTTTTCTTATTTTTTAATTTTTAATTTTTAATTGTAATTATCATTTTAATCATTAGAGATTTTCTTTTTTTTTTTTTTTAATATAATTCTCAATTTGATTCATATTTAAAATTAGTAGATAGGAGAAGAAGGCTTAGACCCTTTTTTTGCTTATTCGATTAATATCGAAATTCAATTTCATTTTCCTTTTATGATTGAAATGTTGTTTCTGTGCAGCGAAAGATGTTCCTTTCCTTTCCTTTTCTCTTTTTTTTTTTTTTTTTTTTTGAAAAATATATATTCAAAAAAAAAATTATTAAAAATTTCATCATCAATTTTTTTAAGTACTTTAAGGTTCTTTTGCTTCTTTTTTTTTTCGAAATTGTTTTATTGATTTTATTCGCTTTAACGGAATATTTTGAATTTTTCTAATTAAATTTTACTACAGTTTTCTTAACAACATTAACACAATTTATTTAACTACATTTCACTGGTTCATATACACATTTCAATCATAAAATGAATTAATTTCATTATTAATTTCTTAATTTACAAAAAAATTTATATGCAATACATGATTAACGAGCAAATGAATAAATTTTATGCTTAGGATCAGCATTTTTTCTTGAAAGATTTAAAAAAAATAATAATTTCGATTATAAATTGAACGTGAACTCATAATCGTGGTCTTTACAGTAGAGAAATTTTGCTCGGTTCGCTGCTTCAAACCAAAAGTTATATAACAGATATTATCCGTAGTATAACTACAGATGACTCACGTTTTCTTCTTTATTGCATCTGAATATTTATCCGCTTGCTGGTGTAAAACTCGTAATGCTATCGTTTGTTTTGTATACTAAACTTCGACTGCCTTATGTTTAGTTTTGCAGCAGTCTTACGATGATCATGTCACTTACACAATCAGGACTTCAGGTGGACGTGAATACCTGTGACGCGTTGTTGATTAGAAAGAAGCAAAGACAGACAGAGAAAGAGAAATAGAGATAGAGATAGAAAGATAGAGAGAGAGAGAGAGAGAGAGAGAGAGAGAGAGAGAGAGAGAGAGA